AATTTGGATTTCAAGAATATAACTGAGGTCAGAATATGAACTAGAATACTGAGTCTAAGAAAAAAATTGGAGATATCTAGCCATAAATAAGAATATTTACCTCATAAACACATCATAAAAATGGGTGGAAAGAAGTTTGTCGAAAGGACATTTTAGTAACAGAACGCAACATACAGAAGAAAGATAAGGGGGTTATTTGTCTTAAGAGAAAAGTTCTATGTTAAAGAAAACTCACATTAAAATCAGAAGAGCAATTTCACAGCATTAAACAGTAATCTCCATGTGTAAGATCTGAGGCCTTAAAATGTGCCAGACCAACAGTTGCTCTCCAACAGGGACTGTAATGCATTTAACCTCCCTACAAGAGCAATAAAAGCTAACTCTGCCAGTTCCACAGAGTTGTTTACCTCCATCAAAGCACTGCAAAAAATCAGGTCAGTAAAGAAGAAGAGTGAAGGGGCAGCTGTGACATTCAGACCCATAAAGGGTAAAAAATGTTTAAGTGTACTAGATTAATATCAGAGTAAATGTTTCAGGAATGATTTGAGAAAGGAGTATGTGTAAAGTCATGTGAGTGCTAATCATGAGAGTGCCAAACACAATCCTTATTTCACATATAAAGTTATGGTCAGTTTCACCATTACCGCTTTGTGATAAGATCCTGAGGTAGTAACAGACATTTCCACAAACATATCAGCTTTTGTGTGGTAGAAGCTAAAAAGTAAACAGAATGTTTGGAACTGTTTGGAAAGGAATAAAGAACAAAATTGTCATAATTAAACCATTTTATACATCCATATGAACTGCTTTCTTGAATACTATTTGCACTTTCTCATCCTAAGAAGGAGAAGGATGACCACTGTTATGGAATGGCTTCTGTTTAAATAAGTCTTTAAAGAAGAATCTAGAAAAGAGGCAGATGGGGAAGAATAAAGTGGTCTATAATGTCATGAGGAACAAATAAATAGGAATTGACTTTTCAGTGACTTGTGTAATGTAAGTGTGAGGTAGGAAATAAGTTAAGAGGTGTCGTGTTTCAAAGAAGCAAGAAGAGTTGATCCTTCACCAAAAAAAAACTTGCTGTGAAATTTCAAGTCACTGGGTATGCAGCTACCGTGCCCCTGGACAAGTCAACTCTATGGGGAAGTGACAAGTTATGGAAGAGAAATCCTTTCAGAGTTCTAGTTACATGGACACCACTAATCACCCAGGAATTTCATAAGAACAAGTTGTTGAAGACTAGGAGAGTATTCAAGGGGTGCATCAGTAAAAACTTCTTTTATCCTTCACTAGAGCTAAGCAGGTCATCACTTTTGGAAACATAATACAGGACAGCATTGATCTTTGGTCCAGTATGGATGTTCTTAAGTTCTTTAAATAACTACAAGGGAATGTCTCAAATTATCATTAGAATGCAAGAGGGTGCAAAAAAACCCAACAAAACAAAACAAAAAAACCCAAACCAAACCAAACCAAAGCAGAAAAGCAACTCAAAAATGTTTATCCATCTGGCAGCAGTTCTGTGTGTCTGTCATTTTGTATCAAAATGGCTCTCTTCCCCTTTCCTGTCAAAAACACTCAAGTCAGGTGTCTGGTAGTAAAACTGTGCAGTGAAAACCTGCTGTACCATCTCCTCAGTCATAAACTAAAGAATTAGGAATGCCAGAAGATCTGTAGTGCTGCCCAAGACTTCTGGACTGTAGAGCAAATCATTAAACAGCATCCTGTGCAATATTATTCACATACTATTTACAGTCATTGTGAGACCCACATGTAACTCTTATATTGTGACTTGTCTAACGTAAAACAGGTTACAGCATGTTATTGCTGTTCGTAGAAGCATTAATCTATATGCTTTTTTCTGGTATAAGATTTTATGCTATACTTATCTAGCTGTTTCATGAATCTTCCTTTACAGCTGTGTCCATTCTTTTACCACCACAGCCCACCTAAGTAACTCATTAAAGATATTAATAGACAGATGTGGAAACACTGTTTTTTTTATGATGTTTCAGGGCTAGTAGGGTGCAGGCCATCAACTATGGTCCACTCATTACTCACTACTGAGTAACAGATGAGAGCATATGACACAGCAATTCATAGTGCCACGGCAAAAAAAAAAAAAAAAAAAAGTTCTTCTTCAATTACTAATGACTATTTTTTAATTTTTTTTTCTTGGTTAACTTGTACTAGTACTTAAATTGTGGCTTCAGTAAAAGTTTTTCTTGCCATTGAATTCCTCTTCATTCTTTACAAGTGCCCTGGTCTATAAAGTATAACAATAAATACTTTCCCACCCAGACACTTGAAGAAGTCCCAGTTTCAGTTTGAAAAGTAAAGTTGCTCATTGATAATTGCAATATGATCTGCCAAAGGGAGCATGTGACAAAGGAATACGCCAATTGGAGATCGTGTGCTAACAGCCTTATGAGGTTCTACCCCTAAACTATTGATTGATCAGGGATAAAGGCTCTTTAATACACAACCTGACATTCAAGTACAGATTCACTGGAAGAAGAAACTATTTGCTGAAAGGGGCATATGGATAACTATCACTGTAACACATTCAGGATGACACGACGCATGGCATTCAGCACGGAGGCTATTGGCTCCTTAACTTAATTACTAAATATAGAAACAAGAATGACATTGAGAAATATAGGACAAGATGCCTAATTAACATGTCTACCTCCCAAATACTTCAGTCTCTTTAAGCATATTATCTTTTTCTGCTCACACATCCAGCAACACCAGACAAATATACTATGCCCCAGGAAAAGAGGAGGGCAGGAGATGATTAGCTGTTCCACAGTCCCAAATTAGCTCTATATAGCAAAGCAATCATTGCTAGAGAATCTCTGACTGTAAGTTCAGCAAGTAAAAATGCTGAGAAAAAAGAATGTAGATACAAAACCACATCAAGAAATAAAACAAAAAATAGAATGCATGTAGCAGGTACAGCTTTAGCTATAGTGAAATGGTAAAGAATAAAAAACCTAATTATTCAGTGTATACATACTGTAGATATTCCAGGACTGATTGAAGAAGTATGTTTCTTTTGTTTCTACAACAGATTACAATTCATTCAAAAACTAATCAATACTCAAATCTGATACACTACTGGCTTTTAGCCATATCAGCCCAATCCATATTTATTCATTGATACTACCCACATGAATCAAAATACAAAGTTTAAATTTTCCACTTTTTCTGATAAACTATTTACCTGTCTTTGGATCAATGGAGAAATATGGTTGCCCCTGAAGAATGCTGTAAACCACTCTAGCACTGTTTCCGTAAGTGGGATCATCAGCATCTGTTGCCTTTACTTGAAGCACATATGCACCTGCAAAGGAACACACATAATCACATTTTCAGCATAGAGCAGTGATCAGGGATATTTCAGACACATTAGTCCTGTTGCTAGTGGATCCTTTTGTAATTCTTGTTCCACTGGAAAAAAAAAGGCCAGAATAAGCCAGTCAATTCTTCAGCTCCATGCTAGCAACCACCTAGGTAACAGCAGAGGAATATTTGCAAGGAAAGGGGAAGCAGCCCACCATCAGAAGATATTTATAAACAGCTTATGATGCATGCATTATTTACAAAAACTTTTTACCCAACACATATAGGATAGAAGCCTGGGGAAGTGCAATACTGGATTTTGAAAAAAGAATATGCCCCACAGTTTTGTGAAAAAGTTGACAACTGTGGAAGTAAAATATGTGAGTTGCCTTTGAAACAAGTGTTTGGTCAAGCAACTCCTGAATCTGTCAGTGAACCAATCTCTAAGTATCTCAAAAAACTATACTGCAGTCTCTTAAAGGTGGAATTCATATTCCCATTCCCATTGTGGAACGATATTAGGTGTTTGGTTCAGCCAGTTGTCTTCAAAATCCAGACCTGAGTCTTCTTCCTTTTCCAACAGAGCTCAGTAGGAAACGTGAAGGAAGAACCTTGCCTTGATACGCTATTTCCAGACATGGGTATAGACCAGACCTAGGGTAGTTTGCTTTATTTTCTGACTTAAATGGGACCCATGCCATGGAGGAAAAGAAATGCACAAGGAGACAGAAAACTCACTGTAAATGGCAATAGTCTTGCAGAAATGTCGTGTCCCTCCTGCTGGTCACTAAGCAATTTACCTGCATTTCCCCACTGCCCCATAATGAAAATAATGTACTGTGAAACTTTAACTTAGCTCGCAGCCAAACAAGACACA